TACAAAATTGCATGTTGCTAAACTGATAGCGAAGTAGTATGAATGGTTTAAATCTTTCCGAATAAAGAAAAAGTATTTCTAGTAGTGTACTTGGCAAATCTCATTTTGTACTTGTTAACATCGTCACCAGTAGAGAAAACTTTTATAGCCCATATGTTAGTGATGTTCTTTTTATACGTCAAGTTTTTGCGGAAATATTTAACTTCTCATGATTTGCTCCTGTATATAACTGCTAATATGGTTGTCGTATACGTAGTTATGCTGGAAGAAGTCATACGGTTAAATTTATCAAGCTAATTTACTATATGAAGGCTAGATCCCAGACTGAATTTGTCACGCTGTAGCATCCGTGTCTCTTAATCGTTGGCCATAGTGTTGTACATTTCACTTGAAATGCTAGTTTAAAATTTTGCTGATTTTTAAATAATTTGTAATCGCAAATCTCACACACTAATGTTTTCACGTGGTAACATGCAATATATGTTTTCACTAATAAATAAGGCCCAACACACTTGTTTATTGCGGAATTTATGTCTCGATTCCGACATTTGATGTCATGTTAGCCTTTCGCGACTCGCAATCCAAGCTAAATTACATTCAATTCATAGCGAACAGGTTACATAACAGCAGAATCAGGTAGAAGCTGTACCATTTCATAGGATCAACAAGTCTCGTGCGAAATATTGCTTTCGCATATTTAGTTACATAATACAAAAACACTTTGTAAGGCTTTAATGCAAATTATGTTACTCGCAAAAGATACTCCATTCTCAAAAAAGTATTTGTCAGAAGTAAAGTCCCTGGTACAAAGCTCTAAGAGTTGGAATCAGGGAGATAGTACTAAGACTCATTGTATTCATTGTCATTGTATTCCAAATTGCTATAACATGTACCCATGTATCTATAATCTTGGGAAAATGCTCCAATAAAGGCTTGGCTTCATATGCTATGTCTTCGTCTGATCGCTCATGAATGTATTCGGCTTTTAAAGCTTATATTCTTAACATACTGCTGTTCCCTTTAGTCCACAGATAATATCGCTAATTACCTCCATAACTTTCCTACTTATTAGCTAAAGAAATTTTTCGGATTATTCAAGGTACCAAATGTTTTCCTCTTTATATCTCCTAGGAGAGGGTTGTAATCTCGCCTAGCTTTGTAGTCACAATGGGAGAGATGGGATAAATTCATCTTTTGAAATGTGCTCTAGCTGAACAATATTAAGGAAGTAAGGAAAAAAATGGAAAAAAGATGTTTTCTTTTCTAATTGAATACCGGAGATTTTGAAGTCAGGCACATAGTACAAGTTATTCGGCCCCTAGAGGGGCTAGGCTCTCAAAAGAGACAAAGTTAATAAGTCTCTTCGTATTTTTGGTCAGAATTCATTGTCTTCTCTAACCTGCTGAAGTTTTTTTAAACAAAATTCAATTAGGTAAAGTATTAGATTGATC